GGGGATCGGGCCGGCCAGCCGACTGGCCCAGCCAGCCGGCCGTCGGTCTGACATGCTGGCGACCAAGCCAAGGACCTCGCAAGCAAGTGTGGGTACCACGCCACGGGCACCGGGTGCCGGTGTTCGTCCGCCGCAAGTAAGACCAAGTTCACTCTGGGGTTGATCCTAGGGTCCCCAACCCTCTCCTGGTGTCCTCCTCACGGGATGACATCCGGATGGGGCGCGCCCCGGGCGTCTTTCCCCCGCGCGGCCGCACGGGTTCCGCGGGAAGGAGCGCAACTCTCCCCCGACACTGCTGGGGTAGACACAAAGAGCCGGGGCATGCTCATCCCCCTGACCCCCCCCCCCCCCCCCCCCCCCCCCCCCGCCCGCCCCGCAGTGCCGCTTCAGATGGCTGCTGGCGGCGGCGGCCAACACCCTGCGAACGGACCGTTGTGCGGGTGTTTGCGGTTTCACTGCCCGGCCAGCCGGCGGTAACCCGGTCCGCGCGCGGGTGCGGCTGCTGGCCCCCCCCCTCGCCCGGACTCGGACCTGGCGCGGTCGCGGCCCCTCGCCCCCTCCCAGAGGGGCAGGCATTTCGGCCGGCAGCCTGGCCGCCCGCCATCCCAGGCGCCGGTCCCCCTCGTGAAGCGTGTTCGAGTCGTACTTTTCCCGCACCTCCCGCTCCCCTCTCCGGTACCTTGCTCCCTCCCCCCCCCCTTGCTGATCCTCCTCGCCTCTCGGGCTCCCCCCGTCTCACCCGCTCCTCTCCCTCCCACGCCCCCCCTCCCCCCCACCTGCCCCCGGCTCCACCGCTCCAGAGATATGTCCATCGTCTCCCAGCTCGTTTCGAGCCTGCCCGTGGTCGGGTCTGGCACTGCCTCGCCGGTGGCCCTGGCCGTGACCGCCAGCTCCGTCCTGCTGGCCCTCTACTACCTGCTGTTCCACTACAAGACCTCGCACAATGGCCACCGCCTGCCGCCCGAGATCCCGTACACCATCCCCTGGGTGGGCCCGATGGTCTCGTTCGGTGTGCACCCGATCAACTTCCTGCTGGAGAACCGCAAGAAGGTGCGCCCCCCCCCCCCCCGGCTCTCTCTCTCTCTCTCTCCCCCTCCCTCTCTCTC